GCTTTGAGAAGCCACCTTTAAAGGTCCTATATAAAATAAAGTATTATTATTATTATTATTATTATTATTATTATTATTATTATTATTATTATTATTATTTTATCTGGCAAGTGCTCACAAAGCTCTGGGAAAACTACATGCGCTTAAAAGCTGCAGTGTTTCAGAACAGTACTTTCGATTCATAAAGTAAGACTTTAAGATTACGTTTTTCAGTATACTGATTAATTTCCTTTATAAATAAAATTACCAATACTTTATTCACCTTATCATAGGACAATGTAAAATTAAATATGTGTATTAAATCTGTGTAAAAATGTAGCGTTTGCTGTTGTTACTTACAACAAAAGCGTCTCAACTGTGATGAAACAGCTGCAACGAAAACAGATGAGCAGTTTCGTGCTCGACCTTTTCCCACAATACACTGGTCCAACTACAGACCTCTCAGCGCCCAAACTTGACTGACAGTAGGCGGGGTTACTGTCGTGGATATACAACGATTCCATGCATGTCTTTTTATTATTTTATATATTTTGGTAACTCGTTGTTTGTCTTAAAATGGTCTCTTTAATTTCAACTAGCTCCAGCTTCTTAGTCAAATCACTCGGCCTTTTGTGCAGTAAATCGTTTGCAAGGTAAGAATATCAAAAGGTGCTCGTTTGCGTGCAGGTGGTCTTCACGTTAAAATTGTTTTGTCGTGATGAAGCCAAACTATGGCTTTAAGATTATTTTTTAAACTTAATTTTCAGGTGGCAACTTTTAAAGCCCTGTGTATTTCTGTAAACCGTACATTCAGTTTACGGTTTTTCTGCCGTTATCAGCGACGATGGCTGGAGGTAACGTATTGGGCTATACCACCGAAGTGAAAGTGATCAGTAACTGGTTAACATTAGTACCCGCTGAAAAGAATGGTGCATTTGAAAGTAATAGTGGAGTACAGTCGCACTTCACCAAGTTTTGTGGTTGGTTTAAAAAGTGGTATCTGAAGTCCTTGAGATATGACATTGGAAACAAAAAACAACCTCTTAACTGACTGTGAGGCCTTAAAATGTATTCACCTCATTTTCTTCACTTCATAAGTTTATGATAACCCACACTTTTACAATGAATTGGTAGGCAAAACTCCCTATTGTTTCATATGGTATTGTAGCTTTCTTGTTAATTTTTTGTAATGATTTTTAGTCTTGTGTAATTCCAAGTCACTGTTATAAGATGGTAAAATAATTGTATTTCTGTGGAAAGTCAAAGTCTTGTTTAAACCTGAATTCTTCATAGGTGCACCTGTGTGCTTCCTGCGATAAGGTGCTTCAGTACCAGCAGTGAGAGACCACCTAAAAGGCCCCTGACTGGCTATATCCGATACATCAGGCAGCAACGACCCGTCTTCATCAAACAGTACCCAGGTGAAACTGAACTATGTTGGTTTAATAACGTGTGGGAATTTGGCTGCATATAGTAAAAAAAAACTTACAATCTTTTTGTAAATTTACAATGTAGGTCATCATAATGAAACTGTGCATGTCGGATACGTGTAAGTTTTGGTTTGTGTTATTGCTGTCGTAGTATGTGTTGAATAATTCTTTGAAATTGAATGGGTATCGCATCTGTTCTTTCTATTTTTCTTCACCTAATTGACCTACAGATTTTTTTTTCCATACATGTAATGTCTGTGTTGTAGATGTGAAGAATGTGGATATAACCCGAAAAATTGCCCAGGAGTGGAAAGCGTTGTCATCTGAAGAAAAACGGGTAACGGGTGTTTTTTTTACCTCTTTGCAATAACTGTGTGTTTGTTAAAAGACGGGTTTTGTGGTGTGATGAAATGGTCATATTGCACTTACACCGCACATACTGTAAGGAGACACCATTTAGGTTGAAGGACAACGACTATTGAAATTACTGTTTTTTTTGTGACATTAAGTCAAAGTCTGTAGTCCCACGAATGTGTGAGAAAAGTCAAGGCAAGGACACCAATGCAGTGGTGGACTGGACCTGTAAGTTTTATTCCATTGGTGCTACTGAGATCCCTGGATTTCCTAGATGAAGTGGTATTTCTAAGGATTGGACTGTGACCACTTCGTCCAGTGCCTTGACAAGATCCACCTTTGGATCCTCTGATTCACATCTGTTTTTACAGAAGTCGCTATGTCTTATATTGTTTTTCACACTGTATGTTTTAGTCCTTGTGCATTAATGACCCTTTTGTTACAACACTTTGCATAGGGATTGATCAAATTGTGTTAAGTGACCTGGAACAGATGACTATTACTAAATGATTTTTGATTAATAACAGAAGTTTACCTATACAGCCATTTCAGGAGGCTGCAGTTGCTGACAGGGAGCAATACAAAGAGGAGATGATGAAATTCAAAGCACAGTTAACTCCTGCCCAGACAGCTGCATTGGAGGAGGAGAGAAGAGAGAAAATAGCTAGAAGGAGGACAATCAGGAAAAAACGGGTAAGCAAATTGATTGATGGAAGTTTTGTTCCAATGTCAGATGCCAGTTGATGTTCTGTTGTTCATTTTCACATTGAGTGAAGTGAGTAAAACTGAATGGTTTAATTGTTGCTTAAATAATTTGTCTTAACAAATCTTAACATCTCCATGTCTCATCCCTGCATTTTTCAATCTGCCAGATTTAGTCTAATAGTACAGCCTGGAAAGAGTTTGTAAACACCACGTTTTTATAAAATACTTAATAAATGTAAAATTACGCCAGCATAATCCAAGAACATACTGTATTAAAACAAATGCAATTAAAGTGTTTTTTTTAATTGGATTGTGTGAGTCTCGGGGCAGAGTGTGAATTTTGCCTGAGGTTTGTGTTGCTTTTCTTTAATTTGTAGGAGTTGACGATGCTGGGCAAACCCAAACGACCCAGGTCAGCTTTCAATATCTTCATGGCTGAGCACTTCGAAGAGGCAAAAGGAGTATCAATGCAGGTGTGTTTTGACTTTTAATTCCAGTCCTGCATTTATTGAATTGCTATTTCTTTTTTCCATTTGTGAATCCTTTAAAATATTCATTTTAGGGTTATTTTGATGATAAAAGTCAATATAACAATGGTTATACTGTGTTCTTTTAGGGCAAGATGAAATCATTATTTGATGACTGGAGAAACTTACATGCTTCACAGAAACAAGTGAGTATTTGACAGAGCAATTCTTCTTAAAAACAACCTGTTTTATCACAGATTTAATGCAGTGTCTTAAGTTAAATATTCCAAAATCTCTGTAAAAAGAAAGTGGTGGACTTTCCATATCTGTTCTGAGAAAACTTGTGAGTTAAACTGATATGTTTCTTTATAGGAGAGTTGTTTATTTTTTTGGTTTGTGCTAACTACTGGTAACGAAATTGTAGTAGTTTATAGCATCATGATTCAAAAGATTTATCTCAAATGTAACTAAAATGAAGGCTGACACTATCTCACTCCTTTACTTTTTTGGTGAAGGTCTACATGCAGCTTGCAGAGGATGATAAAATCCGGTACAGAAATGAAATTAAGTCTTGGGAGGAACATATGGTTGAAATTGGGCGTGAAGACCTCATTCGAAGGAAGAAAACCAAGCCAAAAACTACTGCTGAAGCAAAGGGAGTCACAAAGTCCAACGTACACATAGTTAAGAGCAAAGGAACTGACAAGTCTGCAGATACTAAAGTAGCACCTGGTTCAGAGATAAAAAAGTCTCCAAGAAGGGTAAAGACTGAAGAGTGATTGTGCATATAGGGAGTGATAAATTACCGTCCTATTTGAAAAGAAACTTTGCTCTGCATAAGAAGGTACTTTGTATTAGCATTTGCTCCGGAGAGTAGAAATACTTGTCCATGTATTACCACTTGACACTGGTGCAAATAATGCTTGTCAAACTGTGAAACATGTGGAAGGACTATGGTCTGTAACAAATCGTGAAGAAGGAAGAACATATTTTTCCAAAACTTATTTGTTTTGCTTATTTGCCAGAAGCAACAAAAAATAATGAAATTCAAGAAATGCTTAAAGCCAGCCAAGGAAGCCTCAAGGAATTGAATTCTGAAATGACTGGGGATGTTTTCTTAAGTATGGGTGTAACAGACCGTATGAAACAACCACCAGAGAATTTGTTCCACAGAATCTCTATTTCCATTTTTGTTTTAATGTTACAACATACAAAAAATGTCTCATTTCATACTTGATCTTCAACTGTTAAACATTTAAATACATGTTTTTAAAACAAAATAACATTTCTAATACTTTCACAGTATGGTCAAATAAGTGCATGTACGTTAAATTCTATACATGGAGTGCAGATGTAAAATATCTTAAAAGAACAGTTTACATGAATATAGAATTGCAGAAAAGTACAATAATATTAAAGTATTCTTACATATACATTTTCAGCTTTAAGATTTCAAAATTCCTGAGGGCGTTTCAAGATGAATATTTTACATCCTTCAGGAGTTCTTCAAAGTCTGGAGAGCACACCAGCTTGTGTCTTACGTTGCCCAGTACAGTCATGTCGCCAGTCAAGCCTTCGGAAAGTCGTACAGATACCAGTTGCTATAATATGAATAGAAAGTGAAACCGCTTAATAATTGCGTTTATTCCCTACAAGTATATTGTCCATCAAGTACCTACACATTTCAGATTTATAGATTCCATTTTATTAAACTTGAGATTTGCACTGAGCTATTTAAATGTAATTTAATGTAAACAAGATATAGGAATAGTTCAGATGTTTCGGTTTCTGTCTTTTAACCAGCAAACTGAAGACTTACCTGCAGAAAAGAAAATGCAGCGCCTTCAGAAATATCCATAATGACTTCACCCAAAACAAGCTGAACTTTTCCTGACTTCCTGATCCGCAGTTTCCCGATATGTCCTTCTGAGAAATCCGACAGAGTGGAAGTGCTCTCCTTTCTTATGGGATCCTATAAAAAGTGGTGTGACAAACTTCCATAAAATATATTAAAATGTATTGAATATCATCCAGAAATATTTCCTCCCACAAAATCTGAATTTATGCAGCTTTTGTATTAAGCATTATTAGTTTTGGTGCCTGAGCACTCTCAGAAGAAGGGCGGAGCGGTGGCTCTGTGGCTAAGGATCTCTGCCTGTGGCTGGAAGGTTGCCGGTTCGTATCTTGCGGGCGGCAGAGGAATCCTACTCCGTTGGGCCCCTGAGCAAGGCCCTTAACCCCAATGCGAAAAGACAAATTCCTAATGCAAGAAATTGCATATGGCCAATAAAGTGATCTTATAAGATCCTAATTATGTAATTGTGAATAATTAAAATTAATTAGTTATTATGAATAATTAAAAAGGACATTGTCCTAATTATGATGTGCTCTTGATTTACTCTGCTGCATAACAAATACCTACACTTGCTTAGAAGTATAATTTAATATTTAGCCAGTTGATTATTTGTTACATAGTAAGAAAGATGTGTTCAATATGGCCATTGATGTTTAGTCCACTGGAATGAGAGAACAACGTATGTTATTACTGTTGTTAAAATGAAGATCATAAGTTAAAATTGACTTACCGGAGTCTTAAAAGGCAGTGCATGCCTATCTTCAGATTTTCTCTCTTTTTTTGCAACTTTATCAGCAGTTGTTATGGGCTGTCCAGGAATTGTATCCGGCAGTTGAATGAACAGGAGTTCACCATCATTAGACAGGCTCAACTGCTGGAAGAGTTCGGCTACATTAGGTTGTTGAGGGTTCAAGGCCCCTTTTGTCATCTGGGGATGTTTCATTTGCTGAGGTCCAAGCGCTCTTAAACTTGTTTTACCAGCGGCAGGTTCTTCTTTGACTGCAGAAGAAGTTCAAGTTACACCTGCTGTACCACAAATACTTTGCAAATACAGATTTGGAAGTTTTTAGTGTTATTTGACAATTCTTTAAATAACATGCGCAAACATAATACAATTACATTTCCTGACTTTTTATTTAATCACAATTTACAGAAAGGGGAGAGCACAAGGGAAATGGTGGGTATTTGAGGTAAGAATACATAATTGATTTTGAATGTAATACGAATTTAATTTCCTGCCAAACCAGGTGGCAAATGAACACATCTATTTGACTAGAGATGGAGGATCTTTAAAGGTTGGATAGATTTCCTACCAACAGCCCATAATGTTTGTATTTTGTAAGCCAACTTCTGTGATTCTTTATAGCTCTGCATTTTCTGTGCAGTTTTTTGTACTTTTTATACTCAATATGATTTCCCCATTTTCTTAAACATCTGTAAAATATTTAAACAAATTCTCAGGTTTTATTACAATTGTACATATTTCATTAATATGTACAATTAGGCTGTTGTGTTAATCTCTGATATTACATGTTTAAACTTACTGTTAATGTTTTTCTCTTCCACAGTAAAAAAGTCTATTGACTGATGAAGTGGAAGTTGAATTGGCCTGTTCTTTGCATCATTTTTTAGGCCAGGGTCATCTAAAAACTAGAGAGGAGAAAGGAATACATTTTGCAAGTCTTTGAAATGAATATATAAGTGATACAGATGTCACTGAAAAATAAATTTCAATGTTGCTTCTCAGGTCAGTCCTACCACCCTTTAATGACCTTTTAAAAAAACATTTTTTTAATGGCAAATGCAAAATATTTCTAATATTAAGGTAGGTGAACACAGAAAGGTTATATTCTTTAAAGCACTAGAAGGAATATAAAGCAACTCACATCGTCCCTTTTCAGTTTTTGTAAAATTTCACTCTCCTCATCTTCAAAAGTATGTTTTTCTTTTTTAACGCATTTAAAGACAGCAGGAGGCCCACATTCACTCCTTTCTGGACTGTCCCAGCTCCCTGTAAGGTCACACAGTTATAAAACAGCCAATTTTTTTACATTCTGTTGCAAAATCTCTTCAAAAATTGTGGTTTTATTTTTTCTTGTGTTAGTTTACCTATTCTCCTTATTGTATCGGCAGGACCTTGTTCAAATATAGAGTGTGACTGAATTGTTTGTGGTCGCTCTCTCCTCCTCCCTCGGCCCTCCTTCTGTTTGTCATCTTTCTCTCTCTTCTCCTTCTTGGAAGCACAGTGATGTTCCTCTCTTTGTCTTCATGTGGTCAAATTGAAGTTCAATTAATAGACAATTAGTAGACATGCTTAACAAAGGTATACAAAAGCCCTCAGTGCGACGTTTGTGGGATTGAATTACTGTAGCTCAAATCTCTTTAAGGTTGTGCTAAAATAAATCTTCCCAGCAATTTATTTCAATGTGCATTAAGGAGAGAAATTAAGAAGACAACTTACTCATCTTTAGTCTTCCTAACGGAATGAAAATTTGGAACAAAGGTTTTCTGTAACAAATGAAATGGAGTTTGATTAGCATCACTCCGCGTGCACTCTTCCCTACTGTAAAGAGGTCTTAATTCTGGCACTAGGACTTCTAGAAGACAGCTGCTCCGTTTCAACTCCGTTCGCGATTGAATGTCAATTGAACGGTTTGCCTAATTATATTCAGTATAGTTGTTCTCAACAACCTCTCACAAAGATCTTTTTAAAATGCTTAACGCTTTTTTCGGGTTGTGTAAACTATTTGAGTTTAAGAACCCACTTTGTTCAAGTTGAGTTAAGTATGTGATACCTCTGTTAGAACTAAAATCTATTGATCAAGGTATGCTCCAGCCCCTCTCTCCAGGCTGAAACGTATCGAGGCTTATACTGTATATTACAAATCGGTGGTTCTGACCTTTTTAAACCCTCCCAACGTCAGATCTCTCGACCGCAGAGAGCTGAGTCTGCCAGGAGGAGGCGGGTTTAGAGACGCTCGTCCAGGCAAGCTTCTGCCCAGAGCAAAGCTCGCCCGGGAGCTCGAGGTGCCCGGTGCGCTCGAGGATGAGTCGGAAAGATTCCGATGGTCACACATTCTGCAAAATAGCACCACTTAGAAATGGTAAAAATATCTAACGTACAGCGTGATGGTCTTAAAGAATATGTTTGACTACTTTCCGTAATTAATAAAGCCTAGCTCCCTTTATATTGTGTCACCATGAGGCTCCCTGGTTAGCTGCTAAAAGACGATGCAGATATTAAAGCAATTGGGGGTGTTATACAACATTTAAATATTGTATTTTTTATTCCTAAGCTGATCTTTTAAAAATGATTATGAGGCTACAGATCTGTATAAGCTCCGTGTTTTCACCAACTGTGCAGATGCAACATCACGCATGCATAAGATGTCCCTGTTTCCGTACTAATACACGTACATCGATTGGATAAAGAACTGTTTAAAAAGGCGCCTCCATTTTGTTCGCATCATCTCCTTACAATTACATCAGAGGCGACACCTTTGCAGACATTAAAGCCTAATTCGCCTAGTATTGGTCTATTTTGCTGAATTCTAAAGTAACCACATTTTTACTTCGACTACACACATACACAGACGCTAATGCTATACATACTGCCGGCCAGTCATCTGTAGTGATCTTTCTTATTGTCACTTGACTGCACTTCCTGTAGTGACCTGCTGCTGCGCTGCAACTACGTAAACACTGTGGACATGTGACCAAGTGTGGGCGACAACAATTGAACTCAGCCTGGATTTTCACTGTAACAATATTTTAAAGTACCGGAAGTTTCCAAACATAATAGCGCCTTTATACTTTATTGTATATCGCTACACTTACATTTTTCGCTGTTTGAAAAGGATAATAGGAGGCAAAAATAGCAGCAGGTTGAAAACATGCGTCACATTTCGCGGATGTTACAAAGTTAAATAATTAAGTATTAATTCCGTAATTATGTTTTTATTGTCCCTGTTATGCTTGAAAGAAACGCGACATTACAAAACCGTTCAAGTAGGTGGCTGCATGCGTAGTCTGCAAAGGAATTTAGTTAATAAAAGTTTATTCCATGCTGAAAAGAAAAGAAAAACACAACGTTTCGGCTGTGGAGCCTTCTTCAGGTGAACACACCTGAAACACACACCTGTAATAAACCTTTACTTGTAAAATTACAAAATCGTGCCTACGCAGTTATGAAAAACGCTCATGCTCTTAACAATACTCATCCAGCTATTAAATATTTTCCCATTTTTGTGTTGAATGTTGATTTAATTTTATTGATACATTCAGAATTTCCTTTTAAAATAGCTTTTAATATTACATATAAACTATGTTGCATATATGAACATTGTTTTGCATGAAGTTGCGATTAAGTGCGCATTTCCTAAATGCAAGCGTCACAAAGATAATTAAGAATGAAATTATAATTGTATCGTTTTATTACGTTTATTCATTGTATTCCTAAACACGGGTATTTGCTTACGTTTCTGTTCATATATTTGACCGAAATGTTCGTAAAGAGAAAATCACAAGAAAAATGACGTGTCATACACTGTACTCTGTTCGGTCTAAAACCAAATTAAATGTTTATTTTGTAAATTTCATTATCAGTCTCTAATCTTCGTTTAATTTCTGTATTACTCTTCCATAGGTTTATTTTTTTTCTTAAAACCACAAGGTGGTAGCATTGATCCGATTTGATACTTCAGAAATAAACGATCAAAACTGAATTGGCCAGATAATATGAAATGATTCACCGCCGAAGATAAAAAGCATTCTGAATTAAAACTTAAATAATGCATTAATCATTCTGGTTTTGAGATAAATCTCTTTTCTTGGACCTTCTACTTGTGACCTGTTTTATAAAATAATCAATTTATTTGTGACTTGGATAGAAGCCAAAAATTACCCTTAGCCAGATCTGAGACATTCAAGTGGGTGAATATTGGTACCCTGTCGTTGTTTTACACTGTTAAGAATCTAATTAATCTAAAACCTTTCTGTAATTTCTATCCTGAGGTCATTGCTGCGCGTTTTATTATTTTGTAAATACATAACTTGCTCTTATTTTTGGTTATAAAACCATTACTTTGGTTTTGTTCAGAAGTCTACCGTGAAATAGTTTCAGAAATTCACGATCACTGCAAGATCTAGGGGAGTCAAAATCGCTGAATATATGATGAGTTCAGTTGTTTTTCTGTTAAAATTATTATAAATCTTTTTTTCCATTCGAAATGTAACGGTATACACCTTATCACACATCAGAGCTAAGTCATTAATTTTATAGAACATTTAGATATATTTTCAGTCTAGGTATGCATTCAACAGTCAAATTTTGTATTAGGGTTACTCTAAGCAAAGTTTCAACATAAATCTGACACAAGCCATTTATTTTCATGGCGATGCGTCTAGCACATTTCGCCATTATGTTTATGCTCTTAGTTAACCAATAGGTGTCAGCCTTCAGCAGTATGAATTCCTTTACAAATTTGCTCAAAGGACAGAACTGACCCTTACCGCCTACGCACCATACCGAAAGCAAGCACGGCTGAAAGTAGCGTGAAACTAAGATTTGTAATTTGTAGACAAAAATATAATTAAAGTGTTTAAATATTTTTCAGTAAAACTCTTTTAAGCTTTGTTCAATGGAATAAATTGAATAAAAGGGAATATTTGTAGCAGAGCTCGGTTTCAAGCTAGGATGGAGAGACCAAAATCTAAATTGTATTCTTTTACATGCTGTTTTAACTGTTTTTGTGTTCACTTATATATTTATACATTTATTTATATACAGATATGTTTCAAAATACAGTAGAATAGGAGTTGACCCAAGTGGGGTACACTCAACTATGACACTTATATTTGTATCGATATATATTGTTAAGAAAAATACTACAGTACAAAAACAAACGAAACACAATGGTTGCATTTAAAACCATGAAAATTATACACATTTGTTTCACTCATTCAGTCTTTTTATGTGATTAAACGTAACCGTCATAACAAATAAAAGGAGCCCTAAGAGAAGATGCCTAATATCAGATAAGTCACTCCATGTGTTATACTCAGATTTAACATTTCTTTAATTCTTGAAATTAAGTTAATTCAATTCTATAATTAACTGAAATGACGTCGTGCTGATTTTCTTGCATTTTTTTATTTTTCTTCATTGTTAAATATGCCTCTCTATGTAAAATAGCTATTCTATCTTTTCCGATCACGTATCAAATGCAAGGCCTGGTCCTTCAGTGCTCTCCGTCTGGCCCATTTCTCAGGTCATTATGATTTCCTGGTGCTTCCCAAATACCTCGATTGCTTCCTCTCTTGAATAATCAGAGGCCCTGTTACTTCCTGTTACTTCCTTTATAGCCGCATGAGGCTGGCCAATAAAATCGGAGGTGCTGCATGATGCCTTTCGTCTTTTTAGTAAATAATTTCCATTATATTGTTTATAGTCCATAATGTGCACTTTTAAAAAGCTAACACGGCTCTTCCCTTTTAGACAATTTAAGTACGTGGATAGAGCACAAGCTTACACTGATCCAATTATTGAGTAATTATGACCTCAGACACGTTACTTTTAAATTTGACTAATGGATACTGCCTTGATATTGGACATTCATTTTAGATTGTTGATTCAGACTAAACTAAGCTTAAATGAGCTTTGATATCTTTTTTTTATTACTTCTCACAAATTGCTGAACTGAACGAAGACAGTTCACATGTCCACATTTTGAAACTCACCTCTAAACACACAAAAAGTGTTCAGATGGAAAAAACTAGTATTTTTATCTTTCCCAGAACACAAAGTGGATCAATGAAAGAATCATGTGGAGAGGTAGCCCACAGTGGCTAATAAAATGGATGAGCTCATACGTTGACTATTGCCAGCATTGCGCTGTTTCTCTGTATGGTTTTGTAAGTCTCGCAGCAGAATACTCGAGCTTGAAAAGAAAGATTATAATGTTTAAATTATTAGTTTTAAAAATAAAAGTTCACACCTGAACGTTCTTACCGTTCTTACACCTTTAGGATCGATTGTAACCTTTCGTTACTGTCAATTCTAACTCTTGGCTTATGCATTTCCAGTTATATGCTATGTTCATCAATGCATATAATTAAAAATAAAAGTATTTCATATCAACTGTTATTCTGAACCACATAACTCTTTAATTCCATAATTAGCTAAAGAAATGACATGTACTGCCTACTTACCATATCAAAAGTAAGCACAGCTGAAAGTAGCATGAAACTAAGATTTGTGGTTTGTACACAAAAATATATTGGATGTGTTTAAACATTCTTCAATAAAACTTTTTTTTTGTTTAGGAGATCGTTCAATGAAAGGGAACAAAATATTTGTAGCAGAGCTCGGTTTCAAAGGATTGGGATCTGTCGGTCAACTCATTAGTCAAAATAATACAGAGCGGGATTTTTAGGGCGGCGCATAAGGAATCAAGTTCGGGAGTGTAAAAAACAATGAACGGAGGAAGTGAGTTTCACTTGCTAAAGGAGAGAGGAATGAATATGTGTAGTTTTTAAGAGTAGTGTATGGTAGAGGTCTAACTCGGTGCGAGGCGCTGTGGCGACTCGTAGCGGTGTTCTGCAGGCGCCATGGCTGCTCAGTGCGACTCCTTGAGCGGATACTTACAATCGGACCCGGGCTCCAACAGCGAGCGCAGCACCGATTCCCCCGTGCCCGTCTCCGAGGATGACTCGAGCGGTACCCCAGCCCCACCGGACCCGGAGTGGACCGAGGAGAGATTCCGCGTGGATCGCAAGAAACTGGAGGTCATGCTACTAGGTAAAACTAACGAAAATAAATAAATAAAACGGAAAATGAACCGAGTAGCAAAACGTACATGGAAACTTATGACTGTTTCTTGGCTTTGTTGGTAAAACTGTTTTTGTAATCTCGGAGCGATGCGGCTCTTAAACCTTGCTTTTTAAGGTTGTAAATGTAAATGGGCTCTTCTCGAGTGTGATTTAAAAGTAGTCCAAATACGGGAATTATGCCTTCGGAAAAGTATTATGAAAAATATATTTTCTTGAAATGAGCAGATTTAAACTTAGAAACTTTAATCTATATAGACCTGAACGTGTTTGGTGGTAATTCAGTATCGCCAAATGTGCAACAGCCTTGCATACTCGGGCAGCAATGAAAATGCTTTGATATTTTAGTTTTTAAGAACATTAAGATGCTACTTTCTCCTCTCAAATTCGCGTTTAGTACTCCAGAACTGCACCCAGTCTAAAAGTAAGCACATTATCATGATATTGAATTGTGTTCTTAAAAACCACAACCAAAATGTAAGATTTTGCTAACATTGCATACTTTAAATATGTGAAGATTACTGTACATACTTTTAATGTAATAAAATTGGATAAAAAGCAAGTCAAAATGCAAGTTTGAGCAACAGTCTGGAAATGTTTGTAACCTAATTAGCTGGTATGGTATAGTGACAATTCTGTCTTTTGATAAACCTTAGTTAACCCTTTTCTTGTTGAGCAAACAGTAAGTGATTGTTGCTGATCAGTGGTAGTGTTCTGAGAAATTTTGTATCCCCATGATATTTCGTAGCAATCGCCGTGACATCGGCCTTGAATCTTAGGTTGATTTTTGTTTTCAAATATTTAACGTTTGCATTTTAAACCGAGATAAGAAAATACCAGAAGAGAAAAAGACCATTATAAAAAGTTCAATTTGAATATTTTTCATGATCGTTATATGTTTATTTTGTAGTCATTTTCTTAAGTAATAGAACTTCGCCCTTTCCTGTTCATTACCTTTCTAATATGCTGGTCCGCCGTTGCATTTCTCGTGAGCGCTGGGGTATAGGGCTCTGGATATGAATTGTTCTAGTTGATAGGTAAACAGACGGAACAAATGAAAAGTGGTTTTCGTCGATCTGTGAACTGGGCGCATGGAAAGATTCTGACATGGGACCATTGATTGTGTGAGCCTTGATGATATTTTGTGATACCCCTGCTATGTAAATCAGTGATGCTTATTTGTTCAAATAAAAACCACAACCTTTAATATTTGATGCAATATCTTAAGTATTGGGTGATAACATGTCCAAGCTTCAGTTCTGTACATCCTGTTCTGTTCTTGCTTTGAAACTTTCTAGCGGTGCAGCTAGTGTTGTCAAGTATGTACAGTAACTTTCTCCAATAATCTGTTAGCAACTGAAGTGCTGGCTTACAGTTGACTGAATATTGGCTTTAAAGAATGTCAGGGAAGCATTAGGTATTTGGTTTAGATTTTTTGCAATTAGCCATAAATGATAGTTTTTTTAAAAAAAATTTGGCTTATTGCATGAGGCAGTCTGACTTTTGGCTTACACAGAATTTAAATGCACAGTTGCTTTCCCATATGCTATCACTGTATAAACACATCTGTCTCTAAAACTTACAGTTTGGAATAGTGGCACAGAGAAAGAAAAAGAAAACCTCCCAGTACCATTCAACATTAAATACATAGAAGCCGGTTTTCTGAGATGCGCTCTGAAGGCTGTTTCCAAATGTTTTTGTAGCTGTTTTCAGAAAGAGAATGGATTTTGCCTGTGACCCTTTTTTAGCTATTTTTTCACTTCATGAGTCAAGTCTTTTTTTATCCACTGTTATCTTATATCTGATGTGTTAAACAACACTGTTATCTGAACCGAGCATTTGAGTAGTATCATGTTTTTGTCCATCCATAATAGGATCTGTTTGAATTTGTGATAAAAAGCACTTCAGATTGGTTTGGTTCTCTGATTTTACGTACCATAGTTTCGGCCATATTCTGATTACTTTGCTATTCAGAAGGTCTTTTAAAGGCTGATATTTGTGCCCATTGCTCAGGAAGAAGAGGCTAGTTGATTTGATCTATTTTGCATGATTATAGACAGCTCTTCCATTGTGTTGGCTGACTTTCCCAGAGCAATCTCAGATTTTGGCTGAAGCCTTTCAGATTGACCAGATTTACCACTGGAGGCTGCTGTAACGAGGCCAGTTCACCACAGCTATTTCTACTATAGCTTGTTTTTTCTCAGTCTGCTACCAAAGTCTTGCAGTAAAGGTAGAAACCGTTTCATAAGTGTCTTATCCTGAGCTGTATCTTCAGGACTGGGGAACAGTTGACGACTTCAGGGTATTTGACTTTGTGTCTTTATTACAGGTAGGTTTGGAGTGTTTAATCTCTTCTCAGTCCTGATATTATGAAATATTCGTTCATAACGAAAACTCACATTTCTAAATCTTGGGAACAAGTATTTGTTGCAATGTTACAAGTCTTACTATTGAGGCTTGCTAGAAGTCCGGCGCTGAAAAGTTTGCTACAGACATCTAGACAAAGGCAGACTCACTGTATTGTATCCTGCACCTTACTTGGGCACAATTACTTTTCCAGGTGACTTATTCCTCTGTGTCCTGTGGTCTGAAACCTCTTGTAGGTCTGGCAGGGTGGTGTGAACCAGTGTATTTGAACCAAATTGTCAACTGCTTTGGCAAGCTACACTTTAGTGTGTTAGCATTAAACAGCTCTCTTAACTTATACTGTTTTATAATTTAAAGCCCCTTTGTGTTTGGAGATAACCACCCCTGTAACTAAATTCCTTTCCTTTGAGTGCATTACACATTGCCATGGTTACCAATAATGTTTCTTGTACAGAGGTCAGGAGTTAGTTTGACAGCTTACACTTAAGTTTGAAGGTAAACTATTTGATGTCTGTGAAATCTGCTGGAGATGCAACATAAGAACATAAGAATTGCCTCCTTCCTCTGTTGTGTATCTTTTCAGGCAATTTAGCACACTTTGCTTACTAGCATCTAATTGATCCCAGGATATTTCCAGCTGTTTCATGAAGCTAAAGCTTTGACAGTATGGCTGGGTATCTTGTTCCAGACCTCCATGTACTATAAGGATGTGCCTGCTGATCTTAGTTTGAAAATGCTCTTCCCCATATAGTCCACGTGTGTGCTCTGATTTGTGTTTCACTGTTGGTGCAGAAGAAGTCCCAAGAGTTAACTTGGTCAGTGTCTTTGAGGATTTTGAATACAGGATTGCCTTGCTTAGTGCTGAGAGCTGTGGGAATCAGCACAATTAGCTGTAGAGCTATACTTCTACTATTACGTAGCTACTAAGTATGAGGGCTTCATGGGGATTTATTGGCAATGCTTTTACTGATTTTGTTACCATAGAATATAATTAAAAATCAATTTTTGTACAGAAAGGAGTTCATAAATAAACTAATTTATGGAACGCAGGAAACTCTGGCTACAATACCAATGCGTTCAGTCTGAGCTTGCACAGATTAACACTTGGGGGAGATCCTTCACTCTTCCAACTTGTCAGCCCTGGGAGACTGACGGGATGGGGCTTGAGGCTTGTTTCTGATGAGCAATCAGAAGTGGCACTGGCCATTTCTGTAGCCGGCTCTGGTCGGCTGAGAGCCTGCGCTCTCTTCTTCAATGCAAGTTTCCTTTAACACAAATAGTTGCAGCCTGGCAAAAATTAGCCAGTACTGAGAGCGCCTTGGGCGCTTTCACCTGACCCATCTGCATCACCGACAGTATTGTAATCAGTTTCCCTTGTAGTCTTCTCTGTTGAAGACTGAAGAATTCAGTTATTTTAGCCTATGAGGTAAGACACTCCTTTAAGCCCTGAAGTGTATCTGGTTGCTCTGCTTATTCAAGAGCAGTAATAACTTTTTGTAACTTGACCTCAGATTTGATTATTCTTGGGATGAATTTAATGCGCTTAAAGGACAGTATATTACAAATATTACCATCCCATCCAACGGGATACCATTTTCTTGTCTTAAATTATTTCATTCATTCAGTCTCCTTTTCTGTAAGTATAAACCTGTGACTTGGAATGTTCCAGTGCAGGTTTAAAGTATACCTCCCTCAAAGCTCACCTTATTATATCATGTCCCTCACCTCTGTTTTTAGCCTTTTTGAATTATCATACAATATTTATTCCTTCTTGCAGGAGTTCTAACAAGTTCTAGTTTAAAGAAAGTTAAAATCTCCCATGACAACCACTTCTTAATTTGCACGTACACTTCTAAATCCATTATATAAGACCATATTATAATTTACATATATTTGGTGGTCTATAGTATAATCCCATGCTGCAGCATAACTGACACCTTTGGTTTGTCAGGTTAAGTTGCTATTCCTGAATGTTATTTTTAACTATAGTGCCACATTCCAATCTTTACATTTTCCCTTTCTCTCCAGATTATAACATTAACTGATTTTCTTTCCATATGCACCTCATAAGCTTGGTAGTGTAACAAGTCTGTATCTTGCATTTTGATCCTAATACTCTTGCCTTTAGATACGTGTTCTCCTTGTGATACTGCTTCCTGTGTCTCTCCCTCTTATGAGTTTCTATGGTTTCTCTACCCTTTGATTCTAGTTTGTGTTTTTAAATTTCTCTGTAGATCTTGCATACTTGCACTTACCTCATTTAGAGATTTATACAGATATATTTTTATTATGGTTTCCAGTGGCCCAGAAAGCTAAACCTTCTTCAGCAAACCACATTTTCAAACATGCACTGTGTTGATGGATTAACATTTCCAGTTGATCATCTTTGCATGATGTAGCCAGGATCCCTGAGAAAACGGGCAGGAACATCAACAACTGGGGTTTCACCTGCCTCTGCTAGGAATCTGTCCGCTTTTTGGACAGTATTTGTTACCTCAGCTCCAGGTAGAAGTACCACCACTTCTCTTGCTCTTGTGTTTTTGGTGACACTGACTGAAAGTGTTGTCTGAGAATTGGTATCTGTGATAGTGGAACCTTGTATGC